AACATCAAAAGAGGCATGACCTCAAAGCCAGTGACTCTGTTTATAGGAAATGACCTGATGACCCCAGAGGAGCTGAAATGGGTGAGTCTCCATCACCTGGAGTCAAAGGGGTCATAAGATGTGAGTGGGGCAGGGGCTCTTGTCATTAATTCTAGTTCAGATACATTTCTTCCTCTTGAGAGTGCTATTTCGGGCCTTTCTTTATCCCTTACCCCGCCCCCTCAATCCTCCTCCACCCACGCATTTATAGACAGTGTGACTGAAAGTCAACTGAGCGGGTTTGCTGGGGATTTTAGGGAAACTTTAAAGGAGGCAGACATCCAAAAGTTTAACTTTCCCCCTCCCCACTTCCTTCCTCCTGTCAATGCAAAGATGTTGCCTGGAGCTTCAGCAGCCTTCTTGAAACTGTAAGACAAACTAGAGAAAGGAAGCCGGTGCTACGGATGACAGAGCTGGACCGTGGATGAACCAACTGCCTTGTTGATTCTCCCTAGACAAATCCCTTCCTGCCTGAGAACGGTACAGATGGAAGAACAGAACCCTTTAGCTGTGTGAGAGCAAGCAAGCTTGGCTCCCTGGGGAGCCACTGATATTTAATAAACATTCCTTTATGTCCAGTTGAATCGACAGGAGCTAATGCAGCTCCCACACACTCTGCAAATTACTCGTGCAATGAGAAAATATATCTTCTGACATCATGAACAAAATCCCTCTGTTTTAAACATGTTTCCAAGGGCAAAGTGGCAGGAAGGTCCCAGAAGCCCTTGTTTGCACGTAATCCATCTGGAAATCGAAAGATAAGCAGGGAACCCAGGCTAGGTAAGATGCTGTCATCAGTTCCTCAGTCTACACTGAAGACAACTGGTTGAATCCTATGAGACCAGCTGATCATCGGCCCCCATCTCCTTCCTGTGGGCCAGCTTCCTTCAAACTGTCTTTTCTTTGAGCACTAGGATCCACCCATAACTGTGGGGAGCCCTGCCCTTACCCACCCCTAAATCTTAGCTATGGTGCCAGAGGCAGAGAAGGGCCCTGAGACTCCTGGCCTAAGACCAGCTTTGGGAACCCATGACCCCACTCACATGCACGCATGTGTGACATCCACAATCCTTTAGCACACACATCCAAGCCAGTATCAGCTCCTAGAGCCTAAACATTGCACACAGGACAGACAGCACAAAGAGTATCCCTTTCATAGGCTGCCACCATGACAGTGCAAAGACCAAAAAGATTCTGGCCACTTCTGGCCCCTAAGGGTGGACATGAGGACGTGACTTTTGAAACAAGGCATAAATTCAGAGCCCCCTTGGCATTGGTGAAGAAAGGCTGCTCTGTGCTCTGGTTTGGGTCTTTGGTGTAGCTTACTTAATATTTTCATTATGACTCATCTCCCATTTGTGACAATTTTTAAGTAACAAGAATGAGGATGAGCTAAAGGACAACCGCCACTGCTTCAGCCAGGAAGCATCAGTGCCAAAGCCAAATCCAGCTGTGCTACCTCCAACAGGCCCATGCCTAGTGAGCCTGGGTTTTCTGGTCTTTGGCCCAACTGGCTTCATTAACACAGGAAGCCCTCCAGGCTGCCTGCTCTTGCCCATTTTCCTGTGCTGAATGGGCAAGTGGTTCCCTGGCACCTGTACATCATCAAAGAATCTGCTGTGTGTAATACCCACTGAGACAGTGAATAAGGCAAGCAAATGTCACCTTCCTGTGGTCCTAGGGGTTGTAATAGTGTTAAATGGAGGGGACACAAAGTATGGGTGGGCTGAATAAAATGGGGACTATCCTTCTGTAATGATATTGAAAATATTGGTGGTGATGACAGTGAAAACAATGATGACTTCTAGAACCCAAGGTTTCCTGAGAGGATCAAGGAGCAGTGTCCATTTGCCTAATAAGTGAGACTATGGTGATTGAAGAGCTCACCATGGACTGAGGCCTCAGGAGAGACCTTGCTTTAAAGACAAGACCCATTCTTAATAGAAAACCACAGGGCAGTGGGGCCCAGGACAGAGTCAAGAAGCTAGTCACATCTCTGTGGACATGTCTGTCCTGGTAACAGTATATCCTAGCAACTGGTATATGCATCCCAGAATCTTCCCAGCCATGAGACTGTCGTTCTTGTTTCACCGAGGAAGGCAGGACACCAGGGGCTTCAAGGTCTCACCAGCACTGCCACCAGAGTTGAACACAAAGTTGGTGTTGGAGAAACACCTGTACAAAAGGTCATAGAGCACAGACCTCACTGTGAAGACCGGAGGTCGACAAGGCCACAAGCCACAGGTTGGTCCCAGGCTGAGCACACCATAACAGCAGGATTCTGAGCAACTGGCACTGTCATGAGGTAGGGAGCACTTTCTGTTTGCAGTTAGATGTCACTTTCCAAGCATGGACTCAATTCCTGCCATGGAATGAGCCCCTATGGTTCTTGTCTGCAGCCACATTCAGCTCAGCTCTGTGTGGCAAGTGGAAACCACAACAAAGACACAAACCATGTGTGTTCTGTGTTCATATGTGTGAATACAGGCCTGAATATGCCATGCTACATGCATGTAAAGATCAGAGGACGACACCACCCCCCTCCCCGCCAGTGTGAGTCGTTACCCTTCACCTTGTTTGAGATGACATGTCTTGCTTGCAGCCATGCATGGCAGGATCTGTCTGTCCATCTGTCCTGTTCCCCGCCACACACACACACACCCCATCTTGCTATGAGTACTGGGATTACAGACAAAGGTCACCGTATCCAGGTTTACACGAGTCCTGGTGATCTGAACTCAGGTCTCGCCGCCTGCTCATCAAGCTCTTAACTAACCACTGAGCCTCATCCCCCGAGTGTACAAATGAGGATTTTGGCATTTGCTTTCACATTTGTCCACAGTCTTCTCTTGCTCAACAACTTTCTCCTGATTACAAAAGCGACCTGTCAGTCCATCTCAAGCTTGTTTCTCACTGTAAATGGCAATTAGATGTCAGAACCCTCATGACGGCCTGACCTCCACATGACAGGTCAAAATCGATGCCTAAAACAAAACACAGCACCACCAAGCCGTGTCCCAACAGTGCTCACAGGAGGTTTAGAGACACAGAACAAAAATATGGACGCATACCTGAGACCTGCATATGTGTGACATGGGAACCTATGTTGGTGTGCTCTGCCCCTGATGTCCTGTTGTCACAGCTCTTGATTCCAAGACAGCCAAAGGGATTGGTCTCCACCTAGGAATGGTGGGAAGTTTCTCTTGCTAATAGGGCTGAGCTGGCACTATTGTTTTTAGCCTTAGGACAACTGCTCCCTATGTTGGAATGGCAATGACTTTCTTTAAAAGTTCTGTAGCTCTCTATAAACCTGCAAACCTTCAGCGGACTGGAAAATAAGGGGACCTGGTAGTGGTAATGTTGCTGGGGGGCCCTCTCCACCCAGTACCTTCTCTAAGCACCTGGCAGGTATTAACTCCTTGGGCCCCTTGCCCAGAGGTAGATGATCTAGAAGTCCAGGGTTTCCAAAAGTTAAACAACAGGGCGTGGGGTCCAATAGCCCTGCTTCAGACCCTTCCTCCAATCCTTTAATGCTGCTATCCAAGTCTTGTGGCCTCAGGGTGTGGCCCCTGAGAGCTGGAACCCACCCATAGTTATCTAAACACAGATAAACAGTCTTCAAGTAGACCCACAGAACTAAAGGGAAAGAAGCTCCCAGAAACCTCACACTTGCAGAAGCCAACTTCAAAGTTCATGCCTCATCTGATTCTCCCAATCCATCAAAGTGCAGACAGTCCACAAGGGGATTGGTGCAGCTGTGGCTTGTAGACCACCTGGTTCTTCTAAACACCAGAGTTTTCAAGTTAACAAGTTAACAAGTTCTATGCTCAACCAGGGGCAGGACCTGAAACCATAACCATCAGCTCTTGGGCATGCTAAGAAAGCCAAACACAATGTTCCTGACAAGGGGACAGCTCTCTCAGCCAAGGGACCTCTCAGGCACATCACAGGAGACAAGAAAACTGAGAATGTGTAACTATTCCCTTCACAGAGAAGCAGTCACTGCTATTTCCACCGAAGACAAGTTCCCTCCTGGGCCAGGCCAGGCAGCCCGTGTTATGCTCAGGGCGGATGAAGCTGCTCTTAGAGCTCATTCAGCCAGGATGCTGACTCATTCTTAACCCGGGAAGCCCCACACACTCCAGTGAGTTGCTCAGAACAGGCTCCTGTCTTCCCTGCAGCCTGCTATGCCACTTTTAAAGCAAGTAACCATTTTTCAGATTTGTTTTTTTAAAAAAGTGGCATAGCAGTTACTGTAACTGTTATTGATTTGACAGTAAAAGTGAGCTCATAAGAATAGTATCTATATTCATGTGACCTCAGGCCACTCCATGCCCATATCATCAACCATCCCCCACCTGCTGGTTCCCAGCCTGTGGCGTTTCTTTCTGCTTGTGAACATGATTTTCCACCTGGAGCATTAAGGGAACAGAAGGGATGTAAAATACAATCCCGAAGCATTTGCACATGTTCGGAGAAAAGCCAAAATTCTGCCTCACTGCCATATTTCTTGTCCTGCAGCTGGACAGCTCAGGCCAGGCTGCTTAGCCGGTCAGTGGCCAGAGGCTGCCCAGAAGGCTTCCTTCTGCTTCTCGGGAGCGAAAGCTAGACCAACCTCAGCGCCCAGTTAGCACAAACTCACCCATCTCCATCTCTGACCTTCATGTTGGCTTCTAGCTAGGAATCTGAAGCAGCTTCCTTCCCAGGCAGGCATCCCCGTGTCTGTCTCACGATCTCCTCTGAGACAGCATATCGCACAGCCAGTCGGCATCCACAATGCACAGCTAAGAAACTTCCCCCCAGAGTCCCGAAGCCACAGCAGACGTAGGGTGGAGGCAGAGGGAGCCACTTTTCTGACACCACAGACCTTCAAAGTCTGGGAGAAGCAGTGTCCACCCCAGGACCCAGCAGCTGTCACATCTCTGAGGCGCACACAGACATCACTGACAGAGTGTACTCACCGGGAGAAGCTGGTGAATGGCTCCACCTTCCCAGCCACTGTGCTGTGAAGATCCCAAGATGTGTACAGCTTGCCTGGAAAGTCACTTTGAAACTTAGAAAGCAGCCATTGTAAAGTCACTGAGTTCCCTCCATTCTCAGAGATGTCCACATGATTAAGGAAAAAAAAAAAAAAAAGACAAGAAAAAGAAAAAGGCGCACACCTCAGACTTCATTGTCACTGGAACCAGATGACTCATGCTGACTCAGAGCCACCACTTCCTCTCCCGACATTCTCTTCATACTTGTGAGCCGGGCTGGTCCAATTCCCAGGGTCTCCACCACCCTTCCGGAAGAGCAACTTCCCAGACCCTGGCAGTGAGAGCCTCCAGCTCATAGCCAGTGATCACCCTCACCAGGGAAGAGGTGTTTTGTTTAGCAGACTTGGGGACAACTGAAAATAAAAGGCAGAGCACTCACATGTAATTGAGTGTCAAATACACATGCATACTTTATCATGCTGACTTTCTACAGCGGCTCGCAGAAGAGGAAAAGAATCCCTTTTTGGTTAAGGCATTTGGGTTTGTTTTGCCCTGATAACACCCATTTCCTCTCACACTTTCTTCTGCACATAGTCCTGATCTAAAATCATGGTCTAGTCTGAGCTGCTTGTTAGGAGCATATATGTCCTAAGCATGTGAGAACCTCAGTGACTTGGTCTGCAAAGAAAGGCTAGACCACAAGAGCCAAAGAACCAAGGAATGCAATCAAAGTTATGGCTCTCTAACTTTTAAAAACTACTCAATGTTTCTGTGCAAGAATCAAGATCCCGCCTCTGTGTCTGAGTTTTCTTTTGAATGATGCAGAGGGCGGGGCTTTCTTCCGTAGCGTCAAGCATTTCTAAATTACGAGAAGTACCCAGAGAAAGCGGAATCCACAGAATCCACGTACCACTGAGCAGCCTCTGGTGAGGCCAGGAAGGGTTGCTGCTATTGTTGATGTCTCTATGCTCTGTCCCCCAAAGAAAATGTATGGTTCAAAGTAAGGTCTTCTTGAATTAAAAAAAAGAAAAGAAAAAAGCATCGGTCTCACTTTTGAACTGTGCATTCTAGCATATCAGAGAATTCTTACAGATAACACAGCATATATAAGAGTAGCTATGTGGGCAAGACACTCTCTTAAAGATTTGCTTATTTTATGTGCATTGGTGTTTGCCTGCAGCACGTATGTCTGTGTGAGGGTGTCGGATCCCCTAGAACTGGAGTTACAGACAGTTGTGAGCCGACATGTGGGTGCTGGGAATTGAACCTGGATCCTCTGGAAGAACAGCCAGTGCTCTTAAGTGCTGAGCAGTCTCTCTAACTCACCCCCACCCCCAAGACTCTTTAAAACACATGCAGCTTAGGGAAGTGCAGTGCAGGCAGGAAGAGGGGATTTGGTGGCACAGAGGCAGGAATAGAAACCCATCCACAGCCTAAGGCAGTGCTTCTCAACCTGCAGGTTAGACCCCTCTGTGTGTGGGGGGGTAGGGGGCGGATCAAACAACCCTTTCACAGGGGTTGCCTAAAGCCACTGGAAAACACAGATATTTACATTACTATTCATAACAGTAGCAAAATCACAGTTATGAAGTAGCAACAAAAATAATTTTATGGTTGGGGATCACCACAAGTGGAACTGTATTAAAGTGTCACAGCATTAGGAAGGCTGAGAACACCTGCCTAAGAGGATGGACTGCTTATCTTTGGAAACAGCTTAAAAGTAGATTTTCCTCCAAAGCCTCCAGATACCAGCCCAGCCCTTCCGGGACTTCAGTGTTGTTTGAGCCAACAATCTCGTACAGTCTGCCCAGACTTCTGAGAACTACTAAATATGAGGGGACGGGTTTCAGTACAAACCACTCCCTTTGGGCAATCCATTATACACCCTTAAAATACCAATACGCATGGCCCATTTGCAAAATCCAGACAATAACAGTTCCTTCCTTTTAGGATTGTATGAAAACTAAAAGCTGACTGCAGGGCCTGCAACAGGAGTGAGCTCCTCTGTTCTCTTACACCACCAATCAGGTCAAAGCTGATATCTGAGCATATGTGTGGTTTATTGCTTGAAAGTTTTCCTACCGATATAGTAGTTGAGTCACAGGCCGCAATCAAAAGTCTAGAATTCAGATAGATGAATTGCACACTAAATATGCAACATCTTTTAAAATCCAGGGCCTATGATAAAATGTATGACCATAAGCTGTTATTTAAACAACATAGACCATAAAGAAGACAATGACAGTAGACAGGAAGTGTGGCACTCAACCATTCACAGACATTCAACAAATATGCTCCAGATGCCAGGCTCTGGTCTTGGGAAACAGCAAGGCAGGGAGGATGTCCCTGTTCTCAGGAAGCTTGTATTCTCAAGGGATGGGGCAGAAAATAAGCACACAGGAAGAACTCAAGATTGTGACGTGAACTGTATGAAGAATTGCTAGCTAGCAAAGTGAAAAGTCCTTGAGATGAGCCAGCTGGGAGACAGGGACGGGCAGGCGAAGGAGGGAGGAAAGGGACTGGGATTCTGTGCCTGGTATAAGAAGAAAGCAGGGTGTGGCACAGGGTGGCTTAAACAAGAGAGTGGGATGGTCTGGCTGGGATTTTCCAAGGTCAGCATTTGCTGAAAGTGGAGCACGGAGATCTAACCGGGCCCCACTCTGGTCTGGTGAGAGTGATGGAAGCTGAGCAATGTGGTACCATCAGAGGTGCGGGATGGACTGGGTAGGGCAATGGTAGGCGCAGACTGACCCAGAAGAACTCTCAGACTTTTGGGTTGAGCAGTAAAGTGGTGCCACCTGCTAAAATGAGAGAGTTGAGGGAGGAGGCTATCCCAGTGAGGAAGAAATCACACAGGGGCTCTGTTCTAGCTACTGTTTGGCCATGCCTGAAAGACAATGCTTATGAAGATGTCAGCAGACTTGACATGCAGGGAGATGGCTTGTGCTCAAAACAGATTGGAGAGGTAACAATCCAGAGGTGACACCAAAGGCCTGGCCTGGCCTGGATGAGACAGAAGCACAGAGATGTATAGTGGCATCTTGCTGTGCCAGTGAACTTGCAGTGGTAGCCACACCCTATGGTGTGCAGCTGTGACCCCTTATAAGGTAGAGGAGGGGCTGGCTGGCTGGCTTGGGTTGTGGTGAGAGCTTCGCAAGGGCAGAGACTGCATCTTTTGGAGCAGGAAGACCACAACGGCTATTTACCATTATTTGTTTAAGTGCTTCCCTATTAAATACCTGTTTATCATTTATCTTGGGTCTGGTGGACTCATTTAAACCCCACCGTCAGAGATGAAAGGTGAGAGATGAACAAGGCGGTTTGGACCGTTGGCCAGTGAGCCAGGAGAGAACTAAGAAAAC